CTCCCAAATATCCTATAATGGACAGCCTTCAGAGCAAAGAATGATCCTGCTCCAAAAATCAATGGTGACAAAGTCAAGAAACTTGGAGGGAGGAGCCAAGACGGCAGCGTGAGTAGAGCAGCGGGAGGAGATACAACAAAAACAACTCTTCCTAAAAGAGAGACCAGAAGACACAGGACAACATCCAGACTACATCCACACCTGCGAGAACCCAGCACCTCACAAAGGGGGTAAGATACAAGCCGCGGCCCGGCGGGACCCGAGTGCCCTTCACCCCAGCTCCTGGCAGGGGAAGAGGAGTCAGAGCAGGGAGGAAGAGGGAGCCCAGGACTGCTAAACACCCAGCCCTAGCCAGCCGCACCTGAGCGCAGACACAGTGGTTGTGTGGGGTGCTGGAAACTAGGGAAACAGGACAGTAAGACCTGTGAGCGGGTCCCTGCAGCCAGTGCCTCTGGGACAAAGAAAAGCGAGTGCTTTTTGAAAGTCTTAAAGGGACAGGAACCCCACAGCTGGATGGAAGCGTCCCGGCACACTCAGCCCAACAGCTGGGAATACCGGGGAACTACAGGTGCCCTAACCCCCTGGGCAGCAATGCAGCTCTGAGGCCCCATGGGCGATAAACAGCATCCCACCCATTCCCCCTCTGGCGTGGCCTGCCATAGCAGAGCAGCAGCCTAAGGCCAGCCATGCGCACAGTAACCACAGAGCTTAACTCCACAGTGGCCGGGCAAGAATCAGAAACCCTGTCTGTGCACAGCTGCCCAGCACAAGCCACTAGGGGTCACCATTCTCCCAGGAAAAGAAGGCCAGGAACAAGTGGAAAGGGACTTGATTCTCCCAGCTGACACACGTGCCAGCTCCCCACAACTACCTCTATCACCATGAACAGGCAGAAGAATTTGATACAGACCAGAGTAACCCAGACATCCTCCCCAAGAAGGAATCTGGACAGATAGACCTAACCAAGCTTCCTGAAAAAGAATTCAAAATGAAGGTCATAACCATGCTGATGGACATGCAGAGAAAAATGCAAGAGCTAACTGACACAGTAGGGAGGGAGACTGCAGAAATAAAACAATCTCTGGAAGGATTTATAAGCAGAATGGACAAGATGCAAGAGGCCATTAATGGAATAGAAACCAGAGAACAGGAACGCATAGAGGCTGATGCAGAGAGAGATAAAAGGATCTCCAGAAATGAAACAATATTAAGAGAACTGTGTGACCAATCCAAAAGGAACAATATCTGCATTATAGGGGTACCAAAAGAAGAAGAGAGAGAAAAAGGGATAGAAAGTGTAATTGAAGAAATAATTGCTGAAAACTTCCCCAAACTGGGAGAGGAAACAGTCACTCAAATCACGGAAGCACACAGAACTCCCAACAGAGGGGACGCAAGGAGGACAACAACAGGACACATAATTATTAAAATGGCAAAGATCAAGGACAAGGACAGAGTATTAAAGGCAGCTAGAGAGAGGAAAAAGGTCACCTACAAAGGAAAACCCATCATGCTATCATCAAACTTCTCAACAGAAACCTTACAGGCCAGAAGAGAATGGCATGATATATTCAATGCAATGAAACAGAAGGGGCTTGTACCAAGGATACTGTATCCAGCATGATTATCATTTAAATATGAAGGAGGGATTAAACAATTCCCAGACAAGCAAAAGTTGACGGAATTTGCCTCCCACAAACCACCTCTACAGGGTATTTTAGAGGGACTGCTCTAAATGGGAGCACTCCTAAGGCTAAACAGACATCACCAGACAAAGTCAAGAAACTCTGATCTACACACACTAAGCTCAGTCTGCACTCCTTCCTTCTCTTTCCTGCCGCTGAATCTGCTCTCTTACTGTGGGGAACTCTTATTATCTTGGAGTCCTCATTTGGCCTGGTCTGTTCCATCCCATTACCAATCAATTGTGCTTTACAGAGGTTGCAAACTGTTGGTCTGTGTTTAATTTTGTTGAAAAAGTATTTTGAAATGTTTGATGTAGACACTAATATTTAAACATGGGGAGGTTCCACAAAAAGATTCCAATTGTTACCATCTCCTGATAATTTATATTATCTGTTAATGATGAGCTTGAATGTCAGCAGCTTTTGCTTTCCTCCTCAGACAGGTATGTACTCTGATTTGCAGTGGTCACCACCACTCCAGAATCACTCTTTATGATACTTTGCAAGATGCTGTCAGCACTTAAATTAAATCTTTGCTAACACTGCACCTTATATATAGTAAGAAATAAAATTGTTCAAAGATTTAAAACTACACACATGCAAAAGAGAGCACAAATGAAGTATGGATAATGGAATCTCAAAATAATATCTGCACCCTCAAAGCAAAAAACTGCTCTACAAAAAAGATTACTATCTTGTGCATTTCTGCCAATTTAAAGCTAAGAGTCTATAGAGATGCCTTTTTAAACTTCAAAAAATTGATATTCTGCTGTGTCATCAAACATGTTGTGTTAAACTTATCTGTTTATTCTTGGTGGGTAAGAGAGAAGGGGCAAAAAGAGATACAGAAAGAGAATGTGGGAAAATCTGTCCTCAGTTTAATTATGTGAATATATGTGTATGTATATATATATATTTTTTTGAGACGTGATGGAAAGATGTGAGTGAAGACTCAGCAGTGAAACAGGAGGAATGTCTGGGCAATAGAAAGAAGTCTTATTGGACAATACCCAGAAATGAAGGTGGGGAAGAGGCAGAATGAGGTCTTTAAGCTCAGGTTTACAAGAAACACTGTCATTTATTAAATAGGCAGTCCAACCACCTTAGCTGATGGGAGGTTTTCAATTTGGAAGAGCACAATAACAATGTCAGGATGAGGCTTTTAGACTTGACTGAAAAGAGGAAATAGCTACTGTATTTGTCTTAAACCATGTGTGCTGCTGAAAGGCAAGTAAATAATTCTAGCTGAAATAAAGATTACTAAAGATCTACATGATTATAAAATCTTTTGAGCAGCCACTTAAGCAAGTGCCACGCTATCCTGTGGACATGAACATATGCAAGTACACTCAAGTCTGTTAGAAATGTGTGGAAAATGCCTGGTGTGGAGAAAAGTTCAGAGAACCATCCCTGGAGTCTGTGGCTTGGTTTCCAAGAACTGGAAAGAGGCATATTTACTGTAGGGATTCAGTGGCCACGAGGATCCACGTTGTCACATTGCCACTCAAGTGGCAAATGTCTGGGTCTGGAGCACATAACTATTCATTGAATTAAACAAATGGGTTTCTGATCTATTCAGATTTAATAGATGGTAAAGCTGAAACTCTTTTCTGAGTAACTAGATTTCACTGCAAGAGTTCTGGCAGAAAGTGTAGCAATAAGTCATCTATAAAACCCAAATGATTTGGGAGAAGGACATCTGGTAGAAATATGTGTCATTAAACTTTTAAATAATATGGCTTTAAATGAGACTTGGCTATGGAGGGAAACATTCTATTTATCTACCTTGATAAAACACAAAGATTCCTTCTGGCAGAATATTTGGTGAAGGTAGAAGGGTTTGATTTAGTTCCATAATGTTGAGTTAGATGGGTTTCCATGGACCACTGCAAAATGTATACCTAACAGAATCTTAAGAAAATTCAGGCTCTAATCTACTTTGAACAGAGAAGAGAATTTAATGTTACTGACCTTTGTCTATGCAGACTGCCTGTGTAGACTGCCCCTTCCTGGTGGAAAAAGAACTCAGGAGCTCAATGTGTTTCCTTTGAAAACCACTGGGGCCAATGAGGGAAAATGTATTTTACTTTTAATCAGATGACAGGGATGAATAGAATGAGTGGAAAAAAAAAAAAAGAATGCAAAGAGAAGCTCTTTGGTGAAAACCACAGATCCATGACCTAGCAAACATATATAGGCAGCAAACTTTATTTTTCAAGGGGTGTCTTAGTAAAGAGAGATTTTTGGAAAAGCATGTGTGTGTGTGTGGTTATTCAGAAGCATTGCTCAGTATTTTCCACTAACTATCAAATATAAATTGCATGCCACACCCCAGATTGTACTCAAGATGTTTGGCACCAGTAGAATATTTTGCTGCCCTTTGGATGAACAATCCTGCTTGGAAGGCTTTGAGGCACAGCAGTGTCTCTTATAAAGAAACCCTGTTTATTACTCAAAGGAAGCTAAGAAGGTTTAAATTGAATCTGAAGTTTGGGTGTGATATTGACAGCTCCTGCTGGTTGGGAGGTGGTAAAGCAATAATTGTCAGATTGCACCTCTCACGCCAAGTCCTGGCATAGCTTACCCTTTAATACAGAAACATCTTGCCTAACTACATTCTCTTGCCATTTACTGCTTAATGCTGTACATTAAAACCAATGACAATACTCCTTGGCCTAATAGGAAGTGTGGAAGTATTTTGATTCAGCTGGAAAAGAGACAAAAAAGGAGGAGAGTTCTGGTAATGAGGGCCTTTGAATGTCATGCTTAAGCATTTGGATTTTATTCCACTGCCAGTTGGGAGCAAATAAAAACATTGAAGCAAGGAGTGGTATCACCGAATCTTTGTTTTTTTAAAGATCATCTGGTAGCAGTTTGGGAGAATACTGCCACAAGTGAAGTCAAAGATGGAAGGGCCCTAGGCAGTGAGAGTGAGAATGGAGATAAGGGAGACCTATCTGAGAGATATTCATTTAGGAAACTAATAAAATCTTTCAGGAAACTTCACTAAACTGAATATAATCTTCAGAGTAACTTTCTTAATGAGTTGATATTAAATTCAACCTCAGACAGAAAAGCTAATTTTACACATCAATGTTTTATTTACTTTAAAAGGCAGTGAGGTTGGGAGAGAGTTTTTTTATGAAAAACAAATTGAGTCAACTGCAAATAAAATGATACCTATTTTTACTCTGCCGGGATCAAAGTCCTTTCATAAAAAGCCCTTGCAGACTGACCTGCATGTCTAACTCCCATGCTGCACTTGGACAGTTTAAGAGAATGAAACTCATATTTGAAAAGTCAGTGCCTACTTACATACCAGTTGTTTTGATGCTCCACCCAGAACTTAGGAGTCCTGACTTGTCAAATCTGTATGGCTCTGTTGGTTGCTGGGAGAAAACAGAGCAAATGATTAACCTTAGATCAGGAAGAACCTTTAAGGCTTACTTCCTTTGCAAGACTTTATGATAACTAATGCACAGGTATAATTAAAGTGTCAGGCAATGACGTGGTCTATGGGCTCTGGAACCAGAATGCCTGCCTTCAAATCTCAGTCTCCCCTCTTCTTGGCTGTGGAATCTTTTATTTATTTATATATTTTTATTTATTTTTTATTTTGGTATCATTAATATATAATTACATGAGTAAGATTGTGGTCACTAGATTCCCCCCACATACCCCATTACAGTCACCGTCCATCAGCGTAGTAAGATGCTATAGAATCACTACTTGTCTTCTCTGTGCTCTACTGCCTTCCCCATGCCCCCACTACATATGTGTGCTAATGGTAATGCCCCTTTTTCCTCTTATACCCTCCCTTCCCACCCATCCTCCCCAGTCCCTTTCCCTTTGGTAACTGTTAGTCCATTCTTGGGTTCTGTGAAACTGCTGCTGTTTTGTTCCTTCAGTTTTTGCTTTGTTCTTATTCTCCACAGATGAGTGAAATCATTTGGTACTTATCTTTCTCCGCCTGGCTTATTTCACTGAGCATAATACCCTCTAATTCCATCCATTTTGTTGCAAATGGTAAGATTTTGTTTTCTTCTTATGGCTGAATAATATTCCATTGTGTATATGTATCACATCTTCTTTATCTATTCATCTACTGATGGACACTTAGGTTGCTTCTATGTCTTGGCTATTGTAAATAGTGCTGCAAAAAACATGGGGGCGCATATGTCTTTTTGAAACTGGGCTCCTGCATTCTTAGGGTAAATTCCTAGGAGTGGAATTCCTGGGTCAAATGGTATTTCTATTTTGAGTTTTTTGAAGAACCTCCATACTGCTTTCCAATGGTTTAACTAATTTACATTCCCACCAGCAGTGTAGGAGGGTTCCCCTTTCTCCACATCCTCGCCAGCATTCGTTTTTGTTTGTCTTTTGGATGGTGGCCATCCTAACTGGTGTGACTGGCTGTGGAATCTTACACAAATCACCTACTACATAGAAACCTCAGTTTCCCACTTGCAAAATGGGAATAGTAATAGTATTGACTCATAGGGTTGCTGAGATGATCACCTAAGGAAATCCTCAAAAAGTGGTTAGCTGAGTACCCAGCACACAGATGTTCAAGAACTGTAGCTATTATTACCAGTTTAAGACTGAAAGCAGTATACACAATGGGGGTAGAAAGTTAGAAGGCAGAAAGAGTGGGATTTCTTTGCAATACTTCAAGAGATGGGTGAGAATATTTTAAGCAGAAATTTTAAAATTCATTTTGCTTTGTGGGCTTCATTTTTGAATCACTGTGGTGTTCACACATTGTTAGAATCCTGCCCTCTCCAGACACTTGAGTTGGGGAACCCCATTCTAGTCCCCAGATGCCATTATTACCCCCCCATCTAGCCAAGACAGTGAGAAAATAAAATACAACACTGTGTATTTCCCTTATTTCTCTCTTTAAAAAAGTTGTTTATTCACTTTTGATTAAAGGATATAATCTAGGTCTTTATCTCAGTTTTCATATACTCTAAGAAAGCATAACCACCATGATGTAATGTTTCAAAGACTTGATCACAGAGAGAAATCCCCAAATCAGTATTCAGTGAAAAGGGATTTCTGTGTACTCGTTAAATTTTTAGCAGGAAGAATGTGGGCACTGAATTTGGAAACCAAGCTGGCACAAGACTTCTGTAACTTTGTTTTTGTAGGGCATATGACTAGATAGCTAATGGAGATCTAAAATGTCCCAATATATATTTTGGGTATCTTCATCCATATAAATGGTCAAAACTAAAGCTTTAATCCTTTTAAATGTCTTCTGGGCAGCATTATGTCTCCTGAAGAACTGATTCTGGAAACAGCAGCCACAATAGCGTACCTAACAGATTGTAAAACTTCTTATGAATAGATGTCATCTGTATCTATTTAAAACATTTAAAAAGGTTAAACATGACTATGTTTGTGAGGGTCTAGAATCTTTAACTGTGACCTGAAATCTCTGCAGACAGATTTCAGTCTCTGAAATCTATGCTTCTGAAAAGTCAAGGGCACACAGTGGACATTTGTGCTGCTACCATCATATACCTCTGTGTTCTATTTCACCATTACTTTGCACTGATGACAGTGTCTTGGTTCTCAATTACATGCTGTCAATGACATTTATAGAAGTCTGTGGGGGAATACCTGGTTCAGGGTGGGAACTGAATTGGCAGTCATTATATTCTTCTTTTAATCTATTTTAAGTTACTTCCTTTTTTTAAAGAAAGAGAAAGCTATTCTCCTAAAGGAGAAGGAACAACAGTCAAGGAACCTGCAGACTATTTTAAACTTGCAGCTACTTCACAGAACAATATTGTTGATCATCCAAAGAGGTAGTAAGTAACTTGGTGAAGGGGGTTTAAAGCAAACCTGTTTTGGTAGCAATAGTAATGTTTTTTCGACACAGCAGCAAAAACTGGAGAGGGGGTGGAGTGGGAAGGGCAACAATTCTTGGACTTCCTTCCATTCATACAAAATTATGCCTGAAATTATATATGCCTTCTATCTCCCCTGGAATGAGGCAGGAGGGCGTATGGGATAAAATGAGATAGTGGAAGACAGAATAAAGCACAAGTTGAAAGACTTACCTATTGATCATAATCAAACAATTGGGCGCTGGACTCATTATTATGGATGGTTTAGAGACATTCACCATGAACCTCTTTAATTATTTTATGGTACTAAAAATAAAGCTAGCAACCTCAGGGCTCCACTGAGTCATGGTCAGTCAATATTAGTAGTTTTCTGAGGTCTGCAAAACCAGTTTTGAGAAGACCAGTGAAAACTAAAGCAGTGCAAAGACAGGACACGGGAAACTGAGAGCACTTGAAATTATGTCTGTTAGAATGGTAGAAGAAATCAATGAGAAAGGAGGACTTGAGGAGTCTGAGAGCTCTTTAGGTACTTGAAGATGAGGAAAAAGTAAGGCGTTTACTCAGTGTTGGAGCCAGCACAAAAAAATACTGGTGTAAAAGCCAGTAAACATTTGGCTTAGTAGAAGCAAGAACTTAACAGCTGTTAAAATGGAGAATGTTATTTGGGATGTGAACAGTTCCCAGGAATTGTTTTAAATTGTCTGATTTTTCTCAAACTATTCAATTTCAGTTAGACAATATCCATCATATCATAGATACATTTTCACAAATGCTTAGGGTGCCTAACTGGTTTTCTTGGTTTCACTGGAGATGGCTGGTAATTGTAGGTCTGCTTTGGTTATGTAACTCTATTCCTATTATGTTAACGTGTGTGCACAATTAATTAGTAGTTTAAAACCTATACATGCTTAAGTTACTCTATAAGAAGATATGTCAGAGAAATAACCAATCTTCCCATGTTTTCTTCCGTCTGCTACTTCTATAGCTTTTCTTCTTCCTTCCTAATTACAACCCTTAAATAGAATTCGTGCCTCATATCGAATTTACCGAGTATCATAATTCTTCCAAGTGGTAAAGATACCTCAAGACAAATGCTGGGCATAGAAACCACAGGACATAAATCTGCAAAGAAGTAAAAAGCTAACCTTTTCAAACAATATGGCTTCTCTCTCACTTACCAACTTTACATTTCCCTGTATGGCCCCGGAAGATGACTGGTTAGCCAGAGACGGGTAAGATTCCTCAAGGGAGGAACAACCTAAGACAGGCACAGTCGCAGGGGGGCCATCAGGTGAGAAATTGGGGATCAACAGAGGTGAGGCTCAGAACCTCACCCCCCCTGCTTTGAGAGAAATCTTCTGCATCCGTGGATGTCTTGCTGCCCTTGTCTAGCCTGGATTAATACTTAGTCCATAGGCACACACCTGATCATCTGATCATCTA